AAAAGTGTCTTTCACACAGAACATCACCCCACATTACACTCTAACAAACATGTACCTTAATCACATCTTCTTCCAACATAAACATATCTATCTCAGAACCTCAACCCCATATTTCTGAAATTACCCCAGTGTCTCCTCCCCCCCTCCAAAAATCCCCATACATTTTACAATGATTTTCCCTTTACATAATTTTATTTTTAATTTTAAATATAATACATGTATAACTATTTTTAATTTCAATATCTAATATGAATATGGTATTGTCATGATTTTGAGTGAACATAGATGGGGTTTAGATTGGTAATTTGATTTACTGAACTTTTACACAACGTAACTACAACTACAGTGCTGTCACTAAAGTCAAGAAATGAAAACACCCATGGCCACGACCACACCAACAAATGACGAAGGAGAAAATGACACTGTATTGCCGCAGAGCAGGGGGGGCGTGGAGGTACCCCTCCTTGCCTCCACAGCTTACTCTGTAAGGAGTCAACACCATAATCCTAGCTTACCCTCGGCTAGGATTCTCCGGTTTCGGGGCTCCCTTCTCTCACTTAAAGCTGCCACCATCTATTATATGTCCTAAGTGAGGTGATGTAAGTGCCAAGGGCCGGTAGCACGTAGTGGAGCGTTCTCTGTTGGCTGGCCCTTTCGGCGCAGTCACCTCTTATTATTGGCGTAGAGCGGGCGTGTCTGGTCTGACCCGCCTCTACCTATCGTCTGTTCTTTTCTATCATGGGGACTACCCCCTGAGCATATAGTCATAGCTCCGTCTGACCATTCCTCATATAGTTTACAGGTAGCGACGTATTACATTATTATTACATTTTAAGGGGCGTTGGTATCAAGGCTACTAACTGTTGCCTGTGTGGCAGGTGCCTCTCCCTGTCCATTCCTAGTACCTCCCCTTAAGCATTTGGCTGCTGTTGCAACTCTCATTGTGGTAGGATCTTCTGGATGGTTCGAGGAAGGTGGTCATGGAGGGTGAATCACAATCCCCTGCGTACATCCGATCCTACCTACTCTATCTATTTACACTCTTATATTTACATGAATTACAATATTTACATTATTACAAGGCCGACTTTCAGTCGGGTCTACATAGTGGATTGACTTGTGGCTACGCTAGGAACCTCCCCCTTCGGGGGCGTAACTGGAGTCTCTCTCTCTCTCTCTCTCTTCGACTCCTGACTATCGGCAAGGATTAATCTTTTCACGTAATCCCGTTCCTTACTATTCATTAAATACAGTTACACTGTCCTTCGTTCTTTCACTCTTATACAAGCTACCCCTAGTTCTACATCTTAAAACCCACAGACTATGCTAACCATAACCACGACACATACGCTGTAACACTCTTATTGCCTGACTAACATCCTCGGCAATTACGTGATTCTAGCATCCTCCCCTCTGGGCTCACCGGGTACACTTGAGTTTGCACATTCAAATCTCACAACAACACTTTTATCCACAATACTATTATCAACAATATTATTAACCGGCATGGCTGTTATGCGTAAATAAACTTACNGTAAAGAGACTTACTTGACATAGAAGAATGCAGGCTAACTTCCAGCACTCGTCAGACCCATATTGAATAGCGCCTCCGGCTGACAACTGAATATTCTGTGTTAGATCATAATCCCAAGTCCCCCGAAATTCCGTAATTTATAGTTTTAATTTGCTAATTCAGCTGTTGACGACAGAGGGTAGGTAACTCCTCCTCAGTGTCCTCAATTCTCATAGTAATATTCTAATTGGTTCTTATTGGTGGTTGTGGGCGGACCCCTGGCGTCTCATCGCTGTGTATGCGGTAATATTACGATACTCCAGTGGCCTAGTGAGGCAAGCTTCTTGCCACTGTGGTTACACATACTTGCTGATCATCAACATTCTTAACCTATTTGCCTGTCCAGGTGTTGACAGATTACTGTAATAACTGTGAAACGCTTTTCGCAAGTCTCGAACATTTTGGGGAATGCCTTACAATCTCCCATCTCAAATTTGAGCCTCTACAGACATAAGATTTCCTTACCAAGAAGCTGTAGGAAGCCTGCTATATATGACTTCTAAAACCAGATCCAATATGGCATTTGCTGTAAATGTGGAAAGTCAAACCTTGGAAAATCCTGACAAAATAGCTGTTCAGAATGTGAAAAGGACCCATAGGTATGTGAAAGGTACACGAGATTCAGGAATAAAATATACCTCATCTGACTCCAAAACTGTGAAACTGGAAGCATTTAGTGACGCTGATTATGCAGGGGATGTAAAGGATAGGAAGAGTGTAACGGGATATGTAATTATGATGTCAGGGAGCCCAATATCATGGTGCTCTAGGAAACAGAGTATTGTTGCATTATCAACCACTGAGGCCGAATATATTGCAGCAGCTGAGTGCTGTAAAGAATTGAAATATCTAAAGATGTTGATAGAGGAGTTGACAGGAAAAAGGGTGGAAGCTGAACTGTGTGTCAACAATCAGAGTGCAATCAAGCTAACAGAATCTGGACAAGTAACGCGTAGGAGTAAGCACATTGACGTTAGGTATCACTACATAAGTGAACAATTGAATGAGAAACTGTTCTCAATCAAATACTGTAACACTGAAACACGTGTGGCAGACATTTTAACAGAACTGCTACCACCAGAGAAATTTGCCAAGTTTAGAGACATTATACTTAAGAAGAAATAAGTCTGATTGTGATAAGACTGAGAAAATTTTAATTTCATGTACTAATTTTGTAATCTGAAGACCAAAATGACTAAATGTTATTCAATTTAAGTTTGTAAAACAGCTAATAATGTTGACAACATTTTGAAATTAAGGAGGAAAATGAGAAATATGTTGATAACATTTTGAAATTAAGGAGGAATGTTGAGAATCTAGTAATGTAAAAATGTTCATCTTTTGGCTTATTTTGGACTTCACCCATCGTCCGGTATATAAAAAAGACAAAAAACCACAACGTTTCGGAGACTGGATCTGTCTCCGTCTTCAGGTGTATAGGGAAGGTTTAACCTACTCAGTTGGGCCCCTTAGAAAGAGCTAGTCTCAATCACTGGACAAACCTTGATCTGTAGAAGCAACCTATGAACAACCGACAACCGGTTCCGTCAGTGGGAGGAAAGAATAAAATCGCAGTAAAAACATGATAGAAACTTTTTGTGCCAAACATGCACTTGTCAACAATGTAAAGAAACAGAAGTATGGGTTATATTCCATGAATTCAGTTAAAAACGAAAGTAAAAACTGGATAAAGCATGCCTGATTTGCATGGATAAAGAATCGTGCCACCATGGCGACTTCCGGGAATCAGACTAATCCCCGGAAGAAAACTTGCAGTAGTAGTGGAACCACTAATATTCATGAAATTACATTTTTTGGTTTATTAACCTCTTCATTGATGAGGGGGATCCATATAGGAGAAATATCCAAACTGGGTTGGCTGATCGGATTGGATGAACATGCCATATGAGCTGATTCTTTGTATTTCCTGTATCT